GGGAGATGCACCGTGACTGATGATATTGGTGTGAAATAACACAGACAGAGTGACATAGAGAGAGAGAGAGAGAGAGAGAGAGAGAGAGAGAGAGAGAGAGAGAAGGGGAGAGCCACGGTTCAGTTAAATAGAGTGAAAATTTACTTTTGAGAGAATAAAGCTAATATCGGTGCACTCGATTTTCTGCCCTTTAGTTTGATGATCTGCTGCTGATCTTTCTGGCTGCCTGCTGGACCAACTGAACATCTGACTGACAGTTGTTGTCAAACTGACTGTTGTATTTACTGTCTGTCTGTCTGTCTGTCTGCTTCACTACACGACTGCTGGAGCTTGTATCGTATGCTTGGAGCATGTGGAAGGTGTTCGATTACGTGGAAGTTGGTATGCTTTATAAGGTGTGTGTGTGTGTGTGTGTGTGTGTGTGTGTGTGTGTTTGTGTCCAGGGAGCAGATGCTGAAGCACTCGTGGGGAAAAACTGTCCCTCCCTCCCTTATGACCTCTGTCTATTCATTCAGAATATATCTGCTACCGGAGAGTAAAAAAGACAATTATCTTAGCTTGAGATTCTTGCCTTGAACTTACTGGTCTCTCAGGTCTCTTTTATGTTATTACAACCAAAGAGTTGACACATTTGGTAATATCCTGTCCAGACAGTGTAAACTGTGAACTGAACATTTGCATATCCTGAAAAACAGCATTAATAGATTATTTAAAAAACAAAAAAAATGTTATTGACGTCACAACTGCTTTGATCAGAATTGGACTCAGTGTCGCTGAATAATTCATTTCAGAGTGCCACTTTTTCTTGTACTGCCAAGATTTAGAGCTTTATTTATTTTGTTAAAAACACACCATTTTTACCAGATTGACCCTGTTTTTTTTATTTTAATTGTTAAACTGCTTTCAAATGTAGCTCCAGGTAGCATTAAAAGGGCATCGAGGGAAATACATTTTTCACTAGTCTTTTCCCCCTCCATCCCTCCATCTCCTGGGAGTGGAAGACAAAGGAAA